GTAGAGGAGGTCCAGACATTCTCCTGGCCCCTGGGGAACGTAAGGCAGCTGCTAGGCTAAGTACTGCCTCTGAAGCCCCTCTCCAGCCTCCTCACCCCCTCACCAGAAGGTCTCCATGCTCCTTAGCTGGGGGGAAGGGGGAGAGGGATTTGGGGAGAAGAGGCCTGCCGGGCTGAGCTCAGACCAAGGTTTGGATTTCAGCTCCACCCCTTCCTGGGCTGTGTGGCCGTGGCAGGTGATCAGACTTCTCTGGTCTTGCTTCTCCACATGGACAGTGAATATCATGGCTTATCTCCACTGGGTTCTTCTGAGATCAAAGCACACAAGTGTTTGTCAAGTGCCTGACCCAGAGTTGGTGAAGACTGATAGCTTCCCCTACCTCTCCCCTGCGCCGCCTGGTAGACATGAGGGCATAAGAGGCAGAGTGCCCAGTGGGTAAGGGTGCTACTCTGCAGTGTGGGGTGGCCTAGGCCTGCACCCCACTCTTTTTTTTTTTTTTAAAGATTTTTTTTTTTTTTATTTGAGAGAGAGAATGAGAGACAGAGAGCACGAGAGGGAAGAGGGTCAGAGGGAGAAGCAGACTCCCCGCCGAGCAGGGAGCCCGATGCGGGACTCGATCCCGGGACTCCAGGATCACGACCTGAGCCGAAGGCAGTCGCTCAACCAACTGAGCCACCCAGGCGCCCCGTCCTGCACCCCACTCTTAACTTTCCCTCACTCTGTGCTCTGTCACTCTGTGTTCTTGATTAACCTCTCTGTGCCTCCGTTTCCTCAGCTGTAAAATGGGGATGAATAGTAAAACTTCCTTTGTATAAAAACATAGATCTCCTAGTGTTGTGAGGATTAAATGAGTTTATCTACATCAACCCTAGAATGGTTCCTGGCATTTATTAAGCGTTGGATACATGTTGTTACAAACGTGGAGGGGCTGGAGCACTTGGCTACAGCTTACCCAGACCCTACTGACTACCCCTCCCCCCCTTCTTCATCCTGTGCGTTAAGTCTCTGGGGAGTGGGAATGGAGGAATGTCTACTGGGGCAGCTGTGCAGGCTAAGGGCTGGGGTGCCCCTCAGCAGCCAGATGGATTGGGGAATATCTTCGTGGGTTTTTTTCAGGCAGCCATTTCTGGAGCCACTTCCATTCCTGCGCTCTGCAAGAGACAGAGACTAAGCTACCTGGAAAGGTACCCCCCAAACTGTCAGCTGGTAGGTTCTCTACCCTGCTTTGGCCACTTCGGCCTTGCTTTGTACTGCCCTAGGGTGCTTGAATGACCTGTCCCTTTCCCCCTAAACTTCTTTTCAACCCTCACTCCAATCCCAGCAGCCTGCACCCTGAAACTAGGAGAGGTCCCTGCCCAAGCTATCTGTACCACCCCCCATCACCCTTGCTCTTAGCCAGCCCTCTGTGCTCTCCATCACTCTCAGATACCCGGGTCAGTAAACAATTCATGCACCGGTACTAGTTTTAATGTGTGACTCTCCCAGGGTAGCTTTGGAAAAGAGTATCTCAAGAAAGCAATGTGTAGTCCCAAAGGATGCTACTTTGCTGGTGGAATTTCAAGCACAGTGACCAGCCCTGTGGGAGACACCTTTAGCTGAGGTGTGTAGGAATCATTCAGGGATCTACCAGGCACTTTTCTGTCTTTCTTTCTTTTTTAAGATTTTATTTATTTATTTGACAGAGAGAGGGAACACAAGCAGGGGGAGTGGGAAAGGGAGAAGCGGGCCCCCCACGGAGCAGGGAGCCCGATGCGGGGCTTGATCCCAGGACCCTGGGATCATGAGCTGAGCGGAAGGCAGACGCTTAACGACTGAGACACCCAGGCGCCCCTACCAGGCACTTTTCACCTGATGCTGCCCAGAAGCCCTAATCTGGCCTATGTGGAGCAGCATCCCTATTTTGGTGGTTGTCAACTGAAGCCCTCTAAAATGCCAACTTCAAGCAGAGGAGGGAATTGGCCAGTGTAATGAGACCTGTGGCCAGGAGATGGCTTGGGATAGTCGATGTGTCTGACCTCAGGAATCCTGGGTTTGGAGTGTGGCTTTCAACTGCAGGAGGGAGACGCAGACAGGTTACCCTCATCACCATGGCCTGGACCATGTGGAGTCCGGAACCCTAGGAAGGGGGAGAGGACGTCTGCCCCCAGTGTGGGGTCCAGCCACCTATCCTTGGAGGCTTAGGAGAGCACACCTCAATTCAGGGTAAAGGCTGGGGTGGGGCCAGAGGCCCAGTGCCATCCCAGTCGGTTGGGGCAGACTCACCAGCAGTCAAAGTATGCCTATCAGTCCCCCTCCACTTTCTCTCTCCTGCTGAAACGTTTTCCTCAAAACCCAAGAGCCACCATGGCTTCTCTCCCTCTGGGAAACACAGACCTTGTTTGATGACCTACCGAAGCCAGACCAATGCTGTACCCTCACCTTATTTTCCTTGTTGGATACACTCAGATTTCATCAGACTTAGGGAGAATTTCTGGTCGGAGATCAAGAAGACGCCCATTACCCTGCCAGGCTTTGGATTATTCATACCTTCTTTCAAGGAACATTATTATGGAAAACTTTCAATACAAAAATAGAATATAAGAAAATGTATATAAGAAATATATATAAGAGAAAATAGACGGGGCGCCTTGGTGGCTCAGTCATTAAGCGTCTGCCTTCAGCTCAGGTCATTATCCCAGGGTCCTGGAATTGAGCCCAGCATCGGGCTCCCTGCTAAGCAGGGAGCCTGCTTCTCCCTCTCCCACTCCCCCAGCTTGTGTACCCTCTCTCGCTGTGTCTCTGTCAAATTAAAAAAAAAAAACTTAAAAAAAAAGGAGAAAATAGAATGAGAATCCCCCACCCTGTGCCCATCACCCAGCTTCAGTAATTATGGACTCATGGCCAGTCTTGTTCATCCCTGCCCGATTCCCCTCTTTCTGAGGGGTTCAGAAAGCCAAGGGGCACACTTGGCTGGGAGAATTTTTTTTATAAAGGCCCTCTATTTCCTGCCAAGGCAGCATTAGCATTCTCTTCTTTGTTGCTTGGCCTCTGTGCGTGAAATCCCATTTGAACCAGTTCAAAGAGTGAGCAGCATTGGGTCCCTATCTTAGTAAGAGGAGACCAAAGGGGGGTGCCTCCATTGACAAGCTCCTTGGAGGGCCCTGGCCACTGCTCCTGTCCCAGAGAGGCGACATTTGGGTGTGTCCAGTGGCAGCTTGCCTGTTGCATTGGGGGGCTCCCCCAGGCTCTGACAGAGCCCTTCCAGCAGGCAGAAATGACCTATCTGGACCAGATTCAAATTCCACAGCCTGTCTCTTGCCCTTCTAGGCATCTCCTAGGAATGGAGTCATTTAGGCCTTGAGGTCACTTGCTTTCCACCTCCACCTCAAATTGCCCCCGCCTCCCCCCAGGGAAAGCAATGTTGGGCATTCCTGGTCTAATCTGTGCTAGAAGTGACTATCCATGGATGAAAACCACATGTTCCCCCTCTACTCACCTTTCTGCTTTCTTCCCTGTAGCCTAGGGCCATGAGGCTTGCACCGTGTTGGGCATGGTCCCCCAGCATTCTGCACTCCTGCAGCAGCTGGTGACAGTGACAGTAATACACAGGGCTCCTGCTTACCCCATACCTTGCTGTGTGCCAGGCACTGGACTAAGTGCTTTACACAGATCAACTCGCTCAGTCCTCAACCCTATGCAAGGGGCACCGTTCTGACCCAATGTATAGCTAGTCTGCAAGACCCGGAGGGAGCAAGGACCAGAGGAGACAAAGCAAGTGAAAGCCCTGACCCCCGAGCCCCAGACCTAGATGTTTTCTATGCTTGCTCGTGACCCACAGCTGATCGCATGTCTGGAGCGGGGACCCCATTTAAAATGAGATTTCACACCAACACATTCCTGCCCCATGTGCCAAGATCTGCCTCATGTTGTGATAGTGTAATGTGCAATATTATAACTAATGGTCTCAGGGATGTTGTAACAATAGGACTATCATCATCCTGTGTGTGTGTGTGTGTGTGTGCGTGCAAATGGCCTGAGGCTGTGTGAGGCAAGGCAAGGGGCACAAACTAAAATGCCAGGCCTCCTGAGGCCAGATTGGTGTAGCAAACATTATTTATTAAAGGATTCTCCATGGGGCACCTGGCTGGCTCAGTCAGTGGAGTGTGCAACTCTTGATCTCAGGGTTGTGGGTTTGAGCCCCATGTTGGGTGTAGAGATTACTTAAAAATAAAAAAATAGGGACGCCTGGGTGGCTCAGATGGTTGAGCGTCTGCCTTCGGCTCGGGTCATGGTCCTGGGGTCCTGGGATCGAGTCCCGTATCGGGCTCCCTGCTCCTTGGGAGCCTGCTTCTCTGCCTCTCTCTCTCTCTCTCTGTCTTTCATGAATAAATAAATAAAATCTTAAAAAAAAAATAAAATAAAAAATAAATAAATAAATAAAATAAAGGACTCTCCAGTGCCAGGTCTAAGGCCTAAAATGAGTAAGACCCCTGCTTACCCTCCAGTGGTTGGGAATGGCTCACAAAATATGGTGCAGACAAATAGGCTTTCATATCATACTTTCATGTCTTTACATAGTATTTTGCACCTACTGTGTGCAGAGTATTGGGAAAGGCATGGGAGACCAAATAACAAAGCAAAGACCTCACTCCAAGGACCCCCTTCCACTACCCATTGTTTTCAGTACAATAGTGAGTGGTCTAAAGGAGTGTTCTTGAAGCAAGGGTGGGGCTAGGGAGGAGGCACAAGTGTTGTTTTGATCAGTTATGTACTATTAATAATTACTCTAATTAAATCCAGGAAAACAGTAACACTTAGAGCCTATAGGGAATAAGAAGAATGTGAAGTGTAAATTGACAAACACCCAAGCAGAAAGGCTACAATGAAAGGGTCTGACAAGATCAAGTGTTGATGAAAACAGAGCAGCTGAAACTTTCATACACATAGGGGGAATAGAAGTTGATAAAACTGTTTGCAAACTGCCAGTATCCTACTGACATTGACCATGTGCATAACTTAGGATGTAGCAATTCTGCTCCTGGGTATGAACACCACAGCAACAAGAACTTATGTTTACCAAGATGCGTGCC